TTGTTTTTATGTATTTTAGTGACTTGCTTACCTCTCCTATACTTTGCACTCCTATCGCTTGTCGTATCGCTTGTTGTAACATTCTGACCCACCCCTCGTACAAGATATCTGTGATAAAAGAGCATCAGAGCTCATCGGGTTCCTCCTTCCGGCCTAAATAAAGATTGTGAGTGATGATCCTGCAATGACAGTGCAGTTTATTAGTTTATTTCCATTACATTGTATTACTTACTTCAATAATACACATTTTATTAAATGTGTACATATTAGTTCGGGGTTTCAGTAAAGTTACGTAGAGCAAAAAGATTTACAAAAAAAACTACGACGTTTCTATCGCAACACAAGCAAACTTCATCAGGAGAACGACGATTGCTTGTGTTGCGATCAAAACGTCGTAGTTTTTTTTATTGTTCTACCTGACTTTACCGAAACACCCAAACAATATGAATTCCTGCAGTCCACGACATCTTCAAATCAAGATTCAACCAAAATGTGTTTACGTGCCAAGGCAGCGACCAATCGGAGCGGGGCAACGGGGCTCGTCGCGCGCTCTGATTGGTCCCCTGGCGAAGGGGATTTCCGCGGCGTTTCTCTCAACCCGACCAGGACCCGCGCCGCTTCGAAAATTCCCCAGAGGGGTGAGAGGCGCTGAGGGGGGGGGGGGGCGCAGGTGAGGAGGAGGAGACGCGGAACAGGTGAGCAGGACAAGGAGACAGGTGAGTGGGACAAGGGGACAGGTGAGGAAGACAGTGAAAGGAGCAGTGAGAGAGAGGTAGTGTAGACAGGTGCACGTGCTGTAGGTGCGCGTGCTGTAGGTGCGCGTGATGTAGGTGCGCTTGCTGTAGGTGCACGTGATGTAGGTGTACGTGCTGCAGTTGCTGTAGGAGCGCATGCTGTAGGTGTATATAAAATGGTACCACTCCCATCGTATGTAAAATGTTATTATTGTTTCAAAGCGCCTTGTACAGTGAGGGAAAAAAAGTATTTGATCCCCTGCTGATTTTGTACGTTTGCCCACTGACAAAGAAATGATCAGTCTATAATTTTAATGGTAGGTTTATTTGAACAGTGAGAGACAGAATAACAACAACAAAATCCAGAAAAACGAATGTCAAAAATGTTATAAATTGATTTGCATTTTAATTAGGGAAATAAGTATTTGACCCCCTCTAAATCAGAAAGATTTCTGGCTCCCAGGTGTCTTTTATACAGGTAACGAGCTGAGATTAGGAGCACACTCTTAAAGGGAGTGCTCCTAATCTCAGCTTGTTACCTGTATAAAAGACACATGTTCACAGAAACAATCAATCAGATTCCAAACTCTCCACCATGGCCAAGACCAAAGAGCTCTCCAAGGATGTCAGGGACAAGATTGTAGACCTGCACAAGGCTGGAATATGCTACAAGACCATCGCCAAGCAGCTTTGTGAGAAGGTGACAACAGTTGGTGCGATTTTTCGCAAATGGAAGAAACACAATAGAACTGTCAATCTTCCTCGACCTGGGGCTCCATGCAAGATCTCACCTCGTGGAGTTGCAATGATCATGTGAACGGTGAGGAATCAGCCCAGAACTACACGGGAGGATCTTGTCAATAATCTCAAGGCAGCTGGGACCATTGTCACCAAGAAAACAGTTGGTAACACACTACGCCGTGAAGGACTGAAATCCTGCAGCGCCCGCAAGGTCCCCCTGCTCAAGAAAGCACATATACATGCCCGTCTGAAGTTTGCCAATGAACATCTGAATGATTCAGAGGACAACTGGGTGAACGTGTTGTGGTCAGATGAGACCAAAATGGAGCTCTTTGGCATCAACTCAACTCGCCGTGTTTGGAGGAGGAGGAATGCTGCCTATGACCCCAAGAATACCATCCCCACCGTCAAACATGGAGGTGGAAACATTATGCTTTGGGGGTGTTTTTCTGCTAAGGGGACAGGACAAATTCAACGCATCAAAGGGATGATGGATGGGGCCATGTACCGTCAAATATTGGGTGAGAACCTCCTTCCCTCAGCCAGGGCATTGAAAATGGGTCGTGGATGGGTATTCCAGCATGACAATGACCCAAAACACACGGCCAAGGCAACAAAGGAGTGGCTCAAGAAGAAGCACATTAAGGTCCTGGAGTGGCCTAGTCAGTCTCCAGACCTTAATCCCATAGAAAATCTGTGGAGGGAGCTGAAGGTTCGAGTTGCCAAACGTCAGACTCGAAACCTTAATGACTTGGAGAAGATCTGCAAAGAGGAGTGGGACATAATCCCTCCTGAGATGTGTGCAAACCTGGTGGCCAACGACAAGAAACGTCTGACCTCTGTGATTGCCAACAAGGGTTTTGCCACCAAGTACTAAGTCCTGTATTGCAGAGGGGTCAAATACTTATTTCCCTCATTAAAATGCAAATCAATTTATAACATTTTTGACATGCGTTTTTCTGGATTTTGTTGTTATTCTGTTTATCACTGTTCAAATAAACCTACCATTAAAATTATAGACTGATCATTTCTTTGTCAGTGGGCAAACGTACAAAATCAGCAGGGGATCAAATACTTTTTTCCCTCACTGTAAACAGAAATCTATGCATTGATTTATTTGAAGACAAGTCCAGATATTGTGGCCAAGGTTTAGCAACTTGTTGTTTTTATTTACATAGCATAGCAATTCTTTTTTATAGCAATATATTGGGGGGGACATTTTGAGCATATTTGAATATTGGGGGGGATGTGTCCCCCCCCAATTTTTTTAATAATTACGGCCTCTTCCTCTCTGTCACTGCTCCTCTCTCCATCTCCCTCGTCTTCCTTCCTCCCTCTCCCCCGTCTCCCTCACCTCCCCCCGCTGCCTCCCTCTTTCTCTCCCACTCGCTCACTTCGTCTGGCACGGGAAGCACTGGCTCAGGCCGGGCGTTCTCCGCCTGCCGGTGAGCAAGGGCGGCCAGGGTCTGGTGGACGTCGCCGCCAGGGTCATGAGTTTCAGGGTCATGACCGTCAGGCGGCTGCTGTACGACTGGGAGGAACTACCCTGGAAGTCGCCGGCCCTCGCCCTGCTGAGAAATGCAGGGGGGTGCCTGGGGTACGGAAAGGAGCTCTTCCTGATGGACTTGAGCCTGGTCGATTATACGAGGCTGCCAAGTTATCACCAGAGCCTCTTGGACGCGTTGCGGAGCTTCGAGTTGAGCAGAACACGCGCGCCCTACGACCTCGCGCAGTTCCTGAACGAGCCCGTGTTCTGCAACAACCTTTTCCAGGGAATCAGAGGAGAGAGGACCCTGGCTCTATGCCTCACATCAGCAGGGCTGCGAAAAGTATTCCACCTCGTGCAGACCCACCAGCCCAAGTGGAAGACCGCAGCTGAGATCGCCAACACCGCAGGGCTCCGCTCCATGCTCGCCGGGGAGAAGCTGCTGCGGGACGTGCTCCGCGCCATGAAGGAGCTGCACCTGAAGCTGGAGGCACCGGGGGATGGTGGCGGACCTCCCCCTCCCTCCTCCTCTTTCCCGGAGTTGTGCTTCTCCTGCGCGAAGCCCCCTGGCCACAGCGACTCCGGCAAGCTACTGAAGCTCCGAGGCTGCAGGAACGTGCCCCTCAAGAGTGCTCCAAACACAGCGCTCTACACGTGCTGCATAAAGGTGCTGCGTTCCCGGGACCTGGCCGACCTACCGGACACAAAATGGAGAGACCATTTCTCTCCCCTCATTGTGGCCGCCCCTCAGTGGAAACAAATGTACAAGTCTCCCGTAGCCAAACGCTGCGGTGACCTCCAATGGAGGTTGGCACACTGCACGTTGCCATCGGCCGTCTGGCTCAGCCGAATCTCGCCAGGAGTAACAGACGTGTGCATTTCCTGCGGTGCCAGGGAGGATCTGCCCCACCAGTACTTACACTGCCAGCGGCTCAAACCATGGCGGTGTACAGAACGAGAAAAAAGATGCTGGAGGGTGACACTGACGGCTGCTCTATGCTTCCAGTGTTCAGATGCCTGCTTAAGGTGCGGCTCCGGCAGGAGCACGCATAACACACACACGTTGGTGATGTGCACGTCTTCTTCGAACGCTGGGGAGCCGGAAAGGCCCTCTGCACCAGCGTGGACGGCACCCTCATGTTCACCTTCTGAAGCGCTCGCTCGTCACCGTGGCGTGCGCGATGACCACCACCACAACCACGTGACTTGTCTTTTGTATTGTGCGCGGTGCTTTCAGCGCCATAGCACGTCGATTTGTAACGTTTGTTTTCTTTTGTTTGCTGGTGACTTTGTGTATTTCATATTGAAATTGCCTCCAGTGCTTTTGCTGCTGGCAGCAATAAAAGTTGTTTAAAAGTCAAAGTCTTTCTCATCTCCCTCCCTCACCTCCCTGTCCCCTCTCACTCTCTTCCGCACTGGACCCAGGTCATCGAGACAGGGAACGTCTTTTACGACATAGTGACGATGGTGTTGCGTGCACAGTGCTAGCGGTGTCACGCTGTGTGCATCGTGCATCAGGGCGATGCGCTGTTTGGTGTGACCAGGGCCACGTTCAGGTTAAGGCGGCCTATGGCTGATAAGAGGGAAGGGCGCAGGAAAAGGTGAAGTCATTAAACTTTATTTATTTATTTAGCCAAGTAAAATGTGCACATTCCACTCGTGGTGAATTCATTAAACACAAATCACTGCACTCATCTCTTAAAACATTTTCCCTGCTCACTTGAGCTGCTGTGGCAAAGTCACCAATAAAGTCCGATGGTCGCGCTACCCACGAGAGGTGTTCTGGGTGAGATCGCGTAAATTTACGCTCAACCAGAACACCTCTATTACTGATCATATTGGTCACGACAGGCTGCGTGTTAAACTGGCCACGCTCTCGTCACTCCGCTGTTACTTCGACGTGGAACGGAGGGTCTAGAGGAGGGCCTACGAACTACGAGGGGGCCTCACGAGCTGCTTCGGCCCCGGTGGCGACGCGCGTCGACCGAGCACGCCGGTTGACGGGCGGCGCGCGGTGCGAGCTGTCCGCGGTGTCGCTTGTGCCTCAGGAGACGATGGCGGCAGAAGTGGAGGCCCACAAGCTGCTGGTGCGGCGATGCCTCGACGACATCAAGAAGCTCGACGGCGGCAGCAGGTGAGGGACGCAGCGAGGATTGCGAGAGATGGAGACCTCGGGGTTCAGAGACGGCCGAGCGTCCAACTTTTCCAGCGATGAGTCGCTGACCTCTTTGCATCATTCCTCTCCTGAGCACGAGGACGTGATCCCACACACAAGGGGGGGCTAAGTGGCTAAGTTAGCGTCAGCAACGGGGTTCTCTCCGCAGGATGCGGCCGTGCATCTGAGCTGTGCGAGGCGACGCGTGGAGAGCGGCAGTGCCCCACTCTACGTGTCGCCGTGCACCGCCACAGAGTGCGTCGCTGTGCACCACCACGCAGTGTGTCACTATGCACCACCACGCAGTGTGTCACTGTTCACCACCACGCAGTGTGTCACTGTGCACGCCGCTGGGGTAGTGGAGCGGCGGCGTAGCGGTCGACGCCGCGCTACGAACCCGGAGACCCGAGTTTGATTCCCGACCATGGCCAACACCGATGACGATTATCTGAACCGGTCATGGGCCTCCCCTAGGTCGATTCAGCCTCAAAATGAGTATCTGGTGCGGTGTGCAAACTTCGCCACTGGGAAGAAAAAGGCGGCCCGGTGTGGTGTTGGACACCCACCCCCTCGTTAACAGCACTGTTCAGGCTATACGGGGGGATATTTGTTTTTGTGTCTGCTCATCACTCCATCATGCTCTGACTCTCCATGTATACACGCCTCTGCATCTCTCTCCACTTCTCTCTGCCCCTTGTCTCGTCTTTCTCTGTCTCTCCGTGTTGCCTCTCTGTGCCTACATCTTTGTGTCCCTGTTAATCTGTATAATTCCCACTACTTGCGTGTTTCTCTTGGTGTGTGCATGTACATCCGCGTGCATTATTTGTGTGGTTTCTTCATCATTGAAGCAAGTGCCATGTCCCTGGTGTGCGACAGAATTGAGAGACCTGACAGTAGAGTAACAGCACCAACATCGCGACCCACACACTCGGGAATCGTATCGGAGTCGATGGTGGAATATTTGAAAGGTGGCCAAATATCTTGTGGCCTTGCAGCTCTGAGAGGGACTGTGGTCCTGAAGTCCCCCCCCCCCCCCACCAATGCCCCCACTTCCACTACCCCCTCCACTACCCCCACTTCCACTACCCCCTCCACTACCCCCTCCACCACCTCCACCACCCCCCTCCACCACCCCCCTTCAACACCCCCCTCCACTACCCCCTTCACCACCCCCCTGGATAAACCCAGCATGGATCGTAGGCAGGCCAGCCTAAATTTATCTAACCGGCGAAGATGTTCCATTAGGGGGATCCATGTTTCGCAAGCGTAGAGAAGGGAGGACATGACTGTGGCTGAGAAGACCTGAGGCTTCGTGTGGAGCGACAGACCAGGTAGCTTCCACACAGCGTTGCGCAACCGATGAAAAGATGATGCTGCTCGACTGATTTAGAGTGAGACTTCTGCTGCCAAACAGAAGCCGGTCATAAGCACACTGCTCAGGTATGGGAAAATCTCCACTCTCTTCACAACTGCCCCATCACCAACTGGGAGTTGTGGGGGTGGAGTGTCCAATGGTACAACATACCCAGGCAGGTGCTTAGTTTTGGTGGGGCTGATGATAAGGACCCACCTCTGAGTAGCACGCTCCAGGTTCAGCAGCAGCGACTCTTAACTCCTCCTCTGAGTGAGCAGCAATTACCAGATCATCGGCATACATAACATGGCTGACCAATAGGGAGCCATCCCTTGAATGCACCCGGGTATCGATCAGCCTCCCATTGTATCTGTACCAGATGGAAATTCCTCCGGTATAGCCATCGAAGGCTTCACGAACTACATGGTCGAAATAGATGTTAAATAGTGTGGGAGCCAGAGGAAATCCCTGTCGCACTTCAAGGTGAACAGGGAATGGCTCCGACTCCCGGCCACGTAGTTTTACCCGGGCCTACTCACTATCATGAAGGTCCTTAATGATCGTGAGCAGAGAGTCAGGGACTCCAAAAGCACGAAGAACAACCCAGAGCCCAGACCTACTGATGGTATCATAGGTCTTGAACAGGTCAAGCAGAGATGTAGGTCTTGTTGGAATTCCTTACAACTTTGCTGTAGCAGACACAGAAAATATGGCATGTGTGCAGGACCGCCCTTTCCTGAAACTGCATTGGGGCTCCGCACGCCTCTCCTCAGCATTCCTGGTGAGGCGATATTGAATAATCCTTGCCAGGACCTTTCCCGGCACACTGAGGAGTGAGATGCCACTGTAGTTGTTACAGTCTGTGCGGTCCCCCAGTGGTCCAGACTGTTGTTATGATGTCATGTAGGGCAGTCTGTGCGCAAATGCCACCCTCCCTCAGCATTTAGCTTGGGAGATCTTCTCTGCCCGGTGCCTTTCCTGGTCTCAGACTCTGGATCGCCTTCAGTACTTCCTCAACAGATGGCACCTCAGCCAGCCACTCACGGGGGTGACTACAATATTTGAGTCACCGCAGCCTCAGCAGGGTCATCTTCACTTTCCCCCCATGATGTTTTCCAGGCTGAGGGATTTCCCTTCCCCCAAGACCTCACAGAAATGCTCAGCAAATCTGCAAACCTGTTTCTGGGGGTCGGAGATTGGATGAACGTTCTTTCCCCTAATGATGGTGATAGGTGTGACACTATAAGTTACTTTTTTTATGGAATTAAAGAGTGATTTGTGATCGCGGGCCACTGAGGCAGATTCCATCTCCTCAGCAACCCGCGACCACCACCCGTCCTTGCAGTGCCTCACGGCTCTCTGAACCTCCGAGAGAAAATTGCAGTAAGCCTCCTCATTCTCTGATGTGGGATGCTGTAGACGATGAGAATGGGCCAGACGAATTTTTTTTCATCCAGCCTGAACATCTCCTCTGTCAGCTAGGGTCTCTGAAGAGGTCTGGACCGTGTATACAAGGCAGCTATTGCAGCTGCATGAGCCAGTCTCATGCAGCTGCAATGGCTCCACCACCCCCTCCACCACCCCCTCCACCATCCCCACCCCCACCACTACTCCCTCCACTACCCCCTCCAATCTCCACTACTCCCTACCATACACCTTCCACTACCCCCTCCCCGACCCCCTCCACTACCACCTCCACTACCACCTCCACTCGCCCTCCACCACCCCCACCACTACCCCCTCCACTACCCCCACTATTACCCCCTCCACCACCCCCACCACTACCCCCACCACCAACCCCACCACCACCCCCTCCACTACCCCCTCCACCCTCCACTACCCCCTACCATACCCCCTCCACTACCCCCTCCACTACCACCTCCACTACCACCTCGACTAGCCCCTCTGTTGTATATGTTGGTTATCGAAATTTGTTATGTTGTATGCGTGCGTGGGTGAAATTATTATGTTGTATATGTGGGTTATGAATATTCAGTGAAAATAATAATAATTAAATGAAATTTGGCCAAATGTGTAATTATCCGGAAATATGTTAATTTATGTAATTATGCACATTTTAATTATGCCAATTCGAGAGGTAATCGTATTAATTATGCGAGTGGGTGTAATTATGATAATGCAAGTCGTTATGATAACCAGACCCCGCCTCGGTGACGAGGGTGGGTTATCGATCGGAATAAGGCAATTAATCGTATGCAGTTATGCAGGTTTGGTGTAAGTATGCAAGATTAACTTAGATTAACTCGGCATCGTTGTCTAGGTTCGTCTCATTCTCGCTTTAACATTCCCAGAGTGTGTATTCGTGGTTATATTTTAGGTCCCCGGTTCACCCCGTTATCGCTTTAACATTTACTGAGTATGTATTAGTGTGTTTATTAAGGTCACCAAGTTCAGATCTCAACGCAGAAGCAGATCTTATGCATAGATTTCAGGAAAGAATCACACAACCACTTCTGTATTGATCAATTTATTACTAATTCAACCTTAACTATGATATAGTATGCGAACTCTCAATCCCGGAACGTCAACACGGCATCAATACAGTATCATAAACGATTGTCTGATTTCACCTTGACAACGGCACATGGATCCCGCATAACGCGATGGTTGTTAGTGAGAGAGAGAGTCGTTAAAATATGCAAATACTATGCTAAGAAAACCTTAACGTTAATGAATGATTATACTCAATATTGTTCACGCAGTACCGCACTCCTTATTGATCATACGCAACCCATATCACGTTGTTAGCACCTTGGGTCACGGGACAGTTGAATATTCTGTAGAGGATGCGAGTACGTGCGGCGATTATGACTGAAAGATACTTGAAAGATTATACGGCGATAAAAAAACACAATCAAAAACAGTTATTATTCTTAAAGGCACCAATCTCAACAGATACATCGGCAGGTTATCTGACAACAGAACGGCTCGGAGTAAGGGCCTGCGACGGTGCTCCTTTTCCGAAGATCGTTATCTTATACCAAGTTTACTAATTGGGGACCAGATCACCTGATAAGGATCCGGTGGGCCACCACTCCCCACGTGAGCGTGGCTCGGCGGAAGGAGGTGCCAAGAATCAGTTCGTATTGATGGATCTGTTGGGAATTTATGCGATTAAGAGTACAGCCCACTAAATATTAAAGATAAAATTACGAATAGTCTTATAAACGACGGATGGCCATCACTCGGTCTCGTTGTGATGCCTTCCCAGCCACGGATGGCTTATGGGTTCGAGTGTGTTTGAGTGGTAAGAGTTGTCTTGAATAGTCAGTGTTCGGAGTCGATTCTTTATGTCAAACAGACGCCTGGTGGTCGTGTGGTGAGGAGGCGGTGCGCGTCATACGTATCAGTCGCTCCCCTGTCACCGTGGTGAACTGGTTCGGATGCCCGTTGATACGCTGTCGCAGTTCGGAACCCGGTCGGTAGGTGGCGCCCACAACTCGCTCGCAGCGTGCAGTGTTGGGTCGTCGCCAAACCGCGACCCTCACCACTCCGGCGGCAGCAGAGACCTCCGACTCGGCAGAGGTTGACCCACGCAGGCCGAGTTGAGCTGTCAAGCGGGTCTTGCCCGCCTGCAGAGGAGATGGGGAGCCGCTTGAGTCGA